GGGGGGGGGGGCAGGCCCCTGCTCGTCCCCCTGGCTCCGCCCCTGTCTACAACTAATGCCATCAATCCATGAAACAATTGTTTTCCAGAGCATAATGAGTGCAACATCATGTTTGCTCCTATCTCAACAACACAATAATGCACTTTTTGCAATCAGGCTTGTTAAGCTCAAAATAAGAAAATCCCTCTCTTCCTTTAACATATTCCAAATCCTGACCATCACACACAAATACACCATTGAAACGAACCACACAACCAAGAAATCTAGATGACCCATTCAATCTAAAATGGAGACAACAAATTTATCACTACTCTAACCAAAAGTAAAATATGAATAATCAAATTTCAAAGAACTTACCAATAAATTGGGTAGACCCATTCATAGTCGATGGAAATCACTTGCTCTTTTTCAGCAACACATCTCCATCGTGGCTACGAGATCACCACCACCACCGGTTGCTGGAGCCATGACGTGTACCTGAAAGATTAGGGTTTTAGAGGAGGATTGGGGGAAGCTAATGCGACTGAAAAGGAAAGGTGGAGCAGGGTAGAAGCACTTACCGAGTGTGACAATGGTGAAGTACAGCGCCACCGTACGCCAGTTCCGACGTCGGGAGTTGTCAAGGTCACCGGGGGTGGTGACTCTGGTAGGGGGGACATGGCAGGGCTCGAGCTGGCTTGCGGCTACAGACAAGAGGGTGTGAGAGATGTAGTTATGCCGGTTGCTGGCAATGGTTGATGCAAGCCCATCGACGGTTGATGTCGCGGGAGGAGCAGGGGTTCCTGGTCGGGACGTGTGAGACACAAAAGAACGATCCACTTTTTTAGTCCTCTAAACCCTAGGCTGAGTTGGCATGCCTAATCAGCATTGCCTGCGGTCAAAACCGGTTTACCAGCGCCAAACCGAGACCAGGTGACTAGGTTGAGTTTTCAACCTGTGGTAATTTGGGAGTGTATTTTGACTTGTTCGGAAATTTAGTGTTGTAATTAAACCAATCGATTAGTTCAGGGATAAAATATGGAATTTTCTCTAGAAACTACACTCAATTCAAGCAAAGTGGTGAAGTAACTAACTAACGAGGAGCGGAGGAGTTGGAGCAGCAGCCAGCCAAGCACACTCGCATTGCTCGTAGTGGTGGCTCGGGGGAACCCTAGTCCCGCTGGCCGCCAGCCCTTGCATCGAACACCACTCCCTCGCCGCCGGCAGCGGCGGGGCCTTCCATGGGTGCGACTCCTCTCCCTCCCTGGCTGGCGGCGGTGCTGCTCGGTGACTGGTGTGGTGGGATGCTGTGCCTAGTGGTGTGCCCCGACTTGCAGTCTGTGGAGCTCGAACCAAAGTTGCGGTTTGTGGTGTGCCTCGTCGGCTTATGCGGCTTGGGGTTCTGGTCGGCAGGCGGGCTGATCGGGGTGGCGTGGGGGCCTGCTGCCGTGAAAATAATTGTAGTTGTCCTCGTGCTCTTTTCGCATCATGGCAACGTCCTACATGATCGGTCCTCCTCGATTTGGTCATCGTCATGTTCCGAAACTGCTGCTTTAGATCTTGGCCAAGATATCTAGATCAGATAGAGTTCGGCCGTGCACGCCATACCAGTCTACGAGGTTCCATGATGGCGTGGCGCGAAGCTCTATTGTTTGTTGGCACCATGGGACATGTCAGCTTCTCGATTTCTATAATGTAGGCAGTTGTGGAGAATGTCATGGTGGGTGAGATCGGAGGATCAGTTAGACAGGCAGAGCCTTCAGGTGTTCGATAACTCTCAGGAGCGGCAGTGTCAAGTGGGGGCAACATCGTTGGAGGAATTCATTTTTGGTGGTGCTCCTCGGGTACTGAGCTGTGACTTCCGGGGTGAAAAAATAAGGTCCGCCCTTCATTGGTTGTGCCTGGCAATTGGCTTGCTGAAGGAATTGTTTTGAGAGCTTGAACTTCTCCAGGGTGAAAACCTAATATCTTGGATCGGGCAACGATGGTGCTTGTTCACTGTTACTTCTTGAAGGAGTTGCTTTTGAAGACCTTCTATATTTTTTGGATGTTGTATTTGGTGGTGATTTGTGTGCGGCTGCTGAGAGAAGTCAGTCGCTCTGGTGGGACCTTTGTTTTTTCTTTTCTTTCTTTGCTATTTTTTGTTGTTGTGTGCATCCTGGATGTCGTTGCGACATCTTGTAGGTGCAAAGACCGGATGCAATTGGTATCTGCGCGGCATTAATATATTTCCCTTTAAAAAAATTCAAGCAAAGTGGCGATCTTTTCGACTCAAACAAATACCAGAAAAGGAGCAACTTCCCCGTGATATATCCCATCGCGTACTGACAAGGCGACCCGGGTGTCATTTCTTCTCGCGCAAGGCCAACACGAAATGGCAGGCCCGTAAATAGCCCGAAACCCCGATGCCCCTCCCGGGAACCCCGCGAAGTTTCCCACCTCCCCTCCCCCTCCTCTCCCCTCGTGCGGCCGTCAAACCCCGTCGCCGCCGTCAAACCCAGCGGCTAACGGCGGCGCGGACGACGCTAATCCGAATATATAAACCCCCGCCCCGGCGTCTCTCCTCCCCACACACCAAGAGCAGGAGGATCACTCCCAGAATCACCGGCTAAGCTCAAGCTCCCTCGTGATCTCAAAACCACCTTTTTTTTTCCTCATCTTTCCACCTCGTGCTTACCGACGGGGTCCCTCCCTGCCATGGAGTCCGTCGGCGTCGCCCCTGCCCCCGTGGCGGTGGCGGTGGCGGAGCAGAAGATGAAGCTTCTCGAGCCGCGGAAGGAGCCCCTCGCCTCCTCCGCCGCCGCGGCCGCCGCCAAGGCGCCGTGCAAGTGGGCGATGAAGAAGAAGCTCGTGGGCGGCGACGCCGGCTACGTGCTCGAGGACGTGCCCCACCTCACCGACTACATGCCCGAGCTCCCGGTGCGTGCCATAGCCCCCGTGCTCCTCTCGCTGTGTCCCGTTCCGATCGCTTTGGTGCTCTGGTCTGCTTGATTTCAGCTCGGAGCTGCCAAGTCCCCATGCTTTCCCGGCCCCTGTTTTTGGCGCCCTTCTGTGGATACTCCACATCTTTATATTTTTCACGATTTTCCATGGATTCGAGGATAAACTGATCGCCATGCAGTCCAGCTGCTCCAACAATTTTGGAACACAGGGAAATCAATCGATCGATCGATCCCCGGAAAGAAACTGAAATTTCAGTTTCTATGCGCGATTTGTTTGCAGATTACAGTTACAGAATCCTTGAATTGAATCGATTGCTCACATCTTATTACCGTTGCTGATCTGCAGACGTACCCGAATCCTCTCCAGGACAACCCTGCCTACTCGGTCGTCAAGTAAGAATTCCCCTCCTTTCTTTGCCCTGCACAGTTCAGTTCCATCCAAACACGCATGTTTCCCGAAGCTGACCTTTCTTCCTGCTCCAACCACGTGTTGTCCATCCATCCCAGGCAGTACTTCGTCAACACGGACGACACCGTCACGCAAAAGGTGAGAAATTTTCTGTGAATTATGTACTTTTGGGCGAACAGAATGCGAGGTGATCTGCCGAGGCTGACTTTGTGGATGGGTTGCAGATTGTTGTTCGTAAGAACAGTGCAAGAGGCACCCACTTCCGGCGCGCCGGGCCGCGGCAGAGGGTCTACTTCCAGCCCGATGAGGTGAACGCGGCCATCGTCACCTGCGGCGGCCTCTGCCCCGGGCTCAACACGGTCATCCGCGAGCTCGTGTGCGGGTTGTATGACATGTACGGTGTCACCAGCGTCGTTGGCATAGAAGTGAGGACTTCCGGAGTCTTCTTCTTGTTTGTTTTGCATTTGTAAATTATCACAATGCTCTGGTTAGTATTTTAGGATTAGCATAGTGCTTTGTTACGATGCTAACGAGGCTAGTTAATCACAGTAACTGATTTTGAGTGCTTAGGAAGGTGTGATTTAGAACAATACCGCCTGCGAATACAATATTGATGGCGACACCGATAAGCATTTTTAGCTGTCACCTAATAAGTAATAACATGATGCTGCAATGTTGATAATCCTGAAACTGCTTAGAAGTGTGTTACTTCGGAACAAACTCCCTGAGAATACAATATTGATGGTGACACTAATAAGCATTGTTTGCCGGCACTTAACGACATGGTGTTGTCATTAGTTAGGCCTGAATATAATATTGCTATTTGTCAACCGTTATGTTTATTCTGTTTTTGTTTTCTGAACCTAATTCTGGATGTGCAATATGCAGGGTGGGTACAAGGGCTTCTATTCTCGAAACACCGTTACATTGACACCCAAATCAGTGAATGACATCCACAAGAGAGGGGGGACCATTCTTGGAACTTCAAGGGGTGGACATGACACTGCCAAAATTGTGGATAGTCTTCAGGACCGTGGCATTAACCAGGTCTACATCATTGGAGGTGATGGTACTCAGCAAGGCGCTTCCGTAATTTATGAGGTAACAAAATTGCTACTGCAGGAAGGTCTCAATCAGACGCTCAATTCCATGTCTCACATGCAACTGCTTTTACTTAATTTCAGGAAGTCCGTAGACGGGGCCTCAAATGTGCAGTGGTCGGTGTCCCAAAGACCATCGATAATGATATTGCGGTACTCCCCTCTTTCCTTTGCCCCTGCATTTATGTACAAGAGTGATTGTTTTCCACACTGGTTGTGATTTCGATGTTGAATTGTCCGCACAGGTGATTGATAAATCTTTTGGATTTGACACTGCTGTGGAGGAGGCTCAGAGAGCTATCAACGCTGCTCATGTTGAAGCTGAAAGTGCAGAGAATGGCATTGGTGTTGTGAAGCTAATGGGCCGCAACAGTGGTATGTCTCTTTCCTTGTTACAAACTTGCAGTCACATCTTAAAAGTAATACCTGCTCCTGCATATTCTGAAGGAAAGTGGTTTTAAGTAAATAATAATGAGTTATAAATTATATTGATGCAGGGTTCATCGCAATGTATGCTACTCTAGCTAGTCGTGACGTGGTATGTTGTTATCATTCATTCTATAAGTTCATTACACTAATCAACATAACAGTAATGTCAAGTCGAAGACTGACCACTTTGCTTTGCTTGTTATCTCAGGATTGTTGCTTAATCCCAGAGTCTCCATTCTACCTTGAAGGGAAAGGAGGCCTCCTTGAGTTCGTCGAGAAACGGCTCAAGGACAGTGGTCATATGGTCATTGTGGTGGCCGAGGGTGCTGGCCAAGATCTCATCGCCCAAAGCATGAACTTTGTGGACACTCAGGATGCTTCTGGAAATAAGCTGCTTCTGGATGTTGGCCTTTGGCTATCCCAGAAGATCAAGGTCAGATTTCTGGTCCAAACTTTCCTTTCCCTGTCAATGTGGGGACAAGCAATGCTCTTTATCTCTTTGGCTCATTCAAGTATATTAGTATCAAGTCATGATAGAATCAGCAACAAGCCACTTGTTAGTAGATTGAAAGTTTGAAGCCCAAAGAAAGCCCTGGTCATATTCCACCACTGAATTGCTTGGCTTTCTTCATCATGCAGGATCATTTCAAGAAGAAGACTAACTTCCCCATAACTCTCAAGTACATTGACCCGACATACATGATCCGCGCGGTCCGGTCAAACGCCTCCGACAACGTCTACTGCACCCTGCTTGCGCACAGCGCCCTCCATGGCGCCATGGCAGGATACAGTGGCTTCACCGTCGCGCCCGTGAACGGCAGACACGCTTACATCCCTTTCTATGTAAGTACAGCAGGAAACAGTGATCAACCCTGAGATCTGTCGAACTCCTATCAAACCTTATGCTGATAGTCTAAAATTTTGGCTGCAGAGAATCACCGAGAAGCAGAACAAGGTCGTGATCACTGACAGGATGTGGGCGAGGGTGCTGTGCTCGACGAACCAGCCCTGCTTCCTGAGCCACGAGGATGTCGAGAACATGAAGCACGACGACGATGAGCGCCACCACCTGCACAACACGCAGCTCCTCGACGGCTCACCGGCGAAGTGCTCACCCAACTGCAATGGATCCGCTGGAGCAGAGTGAGAGGCACAAAGCTATTTGGATGGATATATTGAGCATGTGTAATTATAGCTATTCTTTTTTAACCTTCTCTTGTGAGTTTTTAGCTTGCCTTGTAGTAGAGACTTCTCCGGAGAATTACTGTATAACTATATATAATAAGGGTTCCACGATGGCAATCTTTGGTGGTAGAAGCTCGATTTTGTAGATTAGAAAATGCTAAGTTTTGGGTTCGAGCTCTTCGCAACAGAAGCTCTTTTGCAACACTTCATCTGAATCCTGGTTTATTATTCAGTTGTAAAGAATTGCCTTAAAATCACCCCCCCCCCCTCTTTAGTGTTTTTATCTATTTATTTGCAATGAAGCAAGCCCCTTTTACAGACGTGGAGTTTTACACCTGAGCTCATATGCTCCTTATGTGAACAGTAAAATAAATAAAATAGAAAAAGCATACTTTAAAAATGTTTGTTGTGCATGCAAATTTCATCAAGAAATGACATTGGTGGAAGGCGTGGTAAAAAAGAAAATTGATGCTTACATTCAAATGCATTTTGAAGCTCTGATGTTGTTTTTTCTTGCCACGGTTTTCAGCAATGTGATTTCGTGATGCAATTTTGCATGCATAACAAACATTTCTTAAAGTAGCTTGTCAGATAACGCATAAGAACACATAACAAACAGTGAAAAGGTGGCACAAACGGAAGAGCGACAAACTAGCTGGGCAGAATAAATCCAAACAAAGGTTTCTGGCATACATAAGTAACTTGTCTTGGCAAAACTTAGTTTAAACAAAATTAACATAGAAGCATTACACAAAAACTTTTGTCCATTAAAAGGTAAGGTAGGTAACCGAGCGTTGCATAGCCCTCGCTTATCACAGGGATAGAAAACTAGCTAGGACCAAAATGATGTGCCGTTTCATGGTCTGCTTGCTCTATTGAGACTTTAGACCTCAACCAAAGCCGGTGGGCGCAGCTCATCCTCCTCCTTCAGGGGGTGGATGGTGACGAGGTCAGGCAGCGGGGTGGTAGGGCCAAGCTTGCCCTTGGGGTCCCAGTCAAGCATAATCTTCACCTTGATACCAAGAACGCCCTACAAAACCAAGCCAATGTTGAATCATATGTAGTTCCATGAGCAACAAACCGGGAAAAACAAGGTTAAGTAAGCAGCACAACAAACAAACATGTCTGAGAAGAACGTGCCTAACTGTAGCATCAATGTACTCGTTGACGGGCTGACCAGATGAGATCATGTACCCGTCCTTGAACTTCATCGACTTGGCTCTCTGGGCCCTGAGCTTGCCGCTCACAATGACCTAGTGCAAAATCAAGAGAGTAGTCAACAACTAAACATAGGAAGTGTAAAATAAGAATGTCAGATCACATGTGCAGAGAGTAGTCAGCAACTAAACATAGACGTGGGCTTGCTGAGGCACATGTGATCTCCAAGAGACCGTTGTATTGAGATACAAAGAGAGAAAAAGCCATCTAGTTACTACCTACGGACCCGTAGGTCTGAGTTGAACTACTCATGCATGATTGGAGAGGCACAAATGAGGATGATGAACCCCTTCATGATCGTGTTCCCCTCCGGCAGAGTGCTGGAATAGGGTTCTAGATTGGATCTCATGGTTCTGAAACTTGCGGCGGCTGGAATGAAATTTCGTCGACTCCCCTAGGGTTTCTAGAGCTGGGAGGTATTTATAGAGCGAAGAAGCGGTGCAGGAGGCCACCGAGGTGGGCACAACCCACCTGGGTGCGCCTGAGGGCCCAGGCGCGCCCTGGTGGGTTGTGCCCCCCTTGGGGCACCCCCCAGGTGCTTCTCTGGCCCATCTGGTGTCTTCTGGTCCAAAAAAATCCATAAAAAGTTTCGTTGCATTTGGACTCCATTTGATATTGATTTTCTGCAATGTAAAAAACAAGCAGAAAACAACAACTGGCACTTGGCACTATGTCAATAGTTAGTCCCAAAAAATAATATAAAATGATTGTAAAACATTCAAGAATGATAATATAACAGCATGAAACAATCAAAAATTATAGATACGTTGGAGACATATCAACGTCCATTTGCCAAATTTCATAATCATAAAATGCAGCAATTGCTAACATGATTCAGACAGACTTAAGCATCGCTACGAGTGAGAAAGTCTCATCGTAGTCAACTCCTTGAACTTGTCGAAAACCTTTCACGACAAGTCGAGCTTTGTAGACAGTAACATTTCCATTATCGTCAGTCTTCTTCTTGAAGATCCATTTATTCTCTATGGCTCGCCGATCATCGGGCAAGTCCACCAAAGCCCATACTCTGTTCTCATACATGGATCCTATCTCAGATTTCATGGCCTCAAGTCATTTATCGAAATCTGGGCTCATCATAGCTTCTTCATAGTTCGTAGGTTCGTCATGGTCTAGTAACATGACTTCCAGAACAATATTACCGTACCATTCTGGTGCAGAATGTGCTCTGTTCAACTTACGAGGTCCAGTAGTAACTTGATCTGAAGTTTCATGATCATCATCGTTAGTTTCCTCTCTAGATGGTGTAGGCATCATGGGAATGGATTTCTCTGATGAGCTACTTTCCAATTCGAGAGAAGATACTATTACCTCATCAAGTTCTACTTTCCTCCCACTCACTTCTTTCGAGAGAAACTCCTTATCTAGAAAGTTTCCATTCTTGGCAACAAAGATCTTGCCTTTGGATTTGTGGTAGAAGGTGTACCCAATTGTTTCCTTAGGGTATCCTATGAAGATGCACTTCTCCAATTTGGGTTTGAGTTTATCAGGCTGAAGCCTTTTTACATAAGTGTCGCAACCCCAAACTTAAGAAACGACAGCTTAGGTTTCTTGCCGAACCACAGTTCATATGGTGTTGTCTCAACGGATTTAGACGGTGCCCTATTTAACGTTAACGCAACTGTCTCTAATGCATAAACCAAAAATGATAGTGGTAAATCGGTAAGAGACATCATAGATTGCACCATATCTAATAAAATACGGTTACGACGTTCGGACACACCATTACGCTTTGGTGTTCTAGGTGGCGTGAGTTGTGAAACTATTCCACATTGTTTTAAACGAAGGCCAAACTCATAACTCAAATATTCGCCTCCGCGATCAGATCGTAGAAACTTTATTTTCTTGTTACGATGATTCTCCACTTCATTATGAAATTCTTTGAACTTTTCAAATGTTTCAGACTTGTGTTTCATTAAGTAGATATACCCATATATGCTCAAATTATTTGTGAAGGTCAGAAAATAACGATACCCGCCGCGTGCCTCAACACTCATCGGACCGCATACATCGGTATGTATTATTTCCAGTAAGTCATTGGCTCGCTCCATTGTTCCGGAGAATGGATTTTTAGTCATCTTGCCCATGAGGCATGGTTCGCAAGTATCAAATGATTCATAATCAAGTGATTCCAAAAGCCTATCTGCATGGAGTTTCTTCATGCACTTTACACCAATATGACCTAAACGGCAGTGCCACAAATATGTTGCACTATCATTATCAACTTTGCATCTTTTGGCATCAATATTATGAATATATGTATCACCACAATCGAGATTCAACAAAAATAGACCACTCTTCAAGGATGTATGACCATAAAAGATATTACTCATATAAATAGAACAACCATTATTCTCCGATTTAAATGAATAACCGTCTCGCACTAAACAAGATCCAGATATAATGTTCATGCTCAACGTTGGCACCAAATAACAATTATTCAGGTCTAGAACTAATCCTGAAGGTTGATGTAGAGGTAGCGTGCCAATGGCAATCACACCGACCTTGGAACCATTCCCGACGCGCATCTTCACCTCGTCCTTAGCCAATCTTCGTTTAATCCGTAGCTCCTGTTTCGAGTTACAAATATGAGAAACCGAACCAGTATCAAATAACCAGGCGCTACTACGAGCATTAGTAAGGTACACATCAATAACATGTATATCAAATATACATTTGTTCACTTTGTCATCCTTTTTATCTGCCAAATACTTGGGGCAGTTACGCTTCCAATGACTAGTCCCTTTGTAGTAGAAGCACTCAGTTTCAGGCTTGGGTCCAGCTTTGGGCTTCTTCCCGGGAGTAGCAACTTGCTTGCCATTCTTTTTGAAGTTCCCCTTCTTTCCCTTGCCCTTTTTCTTGAAACTAGTGGTCTTATTAACCATAAACACTTGATGCTCCTGAAGGAAATATGCCCTAGAGGCAATAATAAAGTTGTTATTTATATTTCCTTATATCATGATAAATGTTTATTATTCATGCTAGAATTGTATTAACTGGAAACTTAGTACATGTGTGAATACATAGACAAAGAGAGTGTCACTAGTTTGCCTCTACTTGACTAGCTCGTTGAATCAATGATGGTTATGTTTCCTAACCATAGACATGAGTTGTCATTTGATTAACGGGATCACATCATTAGAGAATGATGTGACTGACCCATCCGTTAGCTTAGCACGATGATCGTTTAGTTTGTTGCTATTGCTTTCTCCATAACTATACATGTTCCTATGACTATGAGATCATGCAACTCCCGAATACCGGAGGAACACTTTGTGTGCTACCAAACGTCACAACGTAACTGGGTGATTATAAAGGTGCTCTACAGGTGTCTCTTATGGTGTTTGTTGAGTTGGCATGGATCAAGATTAGGATTTGTCACTCTGATTGTCGAAGAGGTATCCCTGGGCCCTCTCAGTAATGTACATCACTATAAGCCTTGCAAGCAATGTAATTAATGAGTTAGTTACGGGATGTAGCATTACGGAACAAGTAAAGAGACTTGCCAGTAACGAGATTGAACTAGGTATTGGGATATTGACGATCGAATCTTGGGCAAGTAACATACTGATGACAAAGGGAACAACGTATACCGTTATGCGGTTTGACCGATAAAGATCTTTGTAGAATATGTAGAAGCCAATATGAGCATCCAGGTTCCGCTATTGGTTATTGACCGAAGACATGTCTCGGTCATGTCTACATAGTTATCGAACCCGCAGGGTC